ACACAAACCGGAACCACAAAGACGCAACAATAGAGGCAGACACACAGAGCTCCAGAATAAAGCAACACTACATAGACATAACCATGGAAACACGCAATAGAGGTGACACAGACTTACCGCAGAAGGTTTCACCATCACCAGCAGAGGGGAAGGACACGAAACATACAAAACAAATACAACCCCAATATGCACGAGCGGGTAGCCACGAGACACACTAGAACTCAGGGCTACAGACAAAAGATCAGAACGCGTAAACACCAACTCATTTTCGCAAGATGGGCCTTCACTGCAGTTTACGGCAACAGGGATAAATACGCAAAAACAGGCATCTCAGAAGAAAACAGTGTATTATTAACGAACCACACTAACACCATTTACTGAGCCGATAGCTGAACACATGATACCAACTGCCACCCCAAATAGCCACCACATACCTGACGAAAACGCCCTAACAACGCAATACCAAGCAAGCTCACCACCTTTTGCATGTCTAGCCCTGCAAGGCTTATAAATGTCTAATATTTGTCATTGCGTGTTTATTTTGACTTATACGCCTCTGCGCAGGCAACTATGTGTTACTCTGAGTTAACTGGAATATGTCGGCCTCACATTATATACACTTTCAATGTGCACGCCTCTGCGTAGGCAACTATATGCATGAATGATACCAAGTTCAACACCCGTGTTTATATTGCTGACAATAAACATATTTAAAACAAATACGAATTACGCAGTTTGTGCTCTGTTCTATATTATTATTATTATTATTATTATATTTTCTTTTTCTCTTTATCTAGTTCTTTAGTTCTATTTTCTTTTAATTAACCCCTTAATACTTGATTTATCTCTAGTCATTATTTGCATTCATTTTCCCTGCAAAATATACCAAATTTCACTTTATATATAAAAAAGGGGACATATAAAGTCTGCTATGTTCTGGTGGCACTGCCTAGATTGTGCTTCACTCTTGTATATTACAATCTTGTTATATTTCTCATAAAACTTTGTGTGAAGTAAATTCAGCGTTACAAAATTCCTGTTTTATTTTACATCAGTTCCTATTACAGTGTTCTTGTGTCTAATTTTACCATTCTCTTCCTCTCCCCTTCTTTTATCTTTCCTTCTTAAGCACATTATAGTGGTTATGGTGATTCTACACCCCTTTAATTTAATCTATGTCTTTAGTCAATCTATAGTATTCATAGTATATTCCCTTGTTCTCCTCTGCAGTGTACAAGTAAGTGCAAAATACTAAAGTGCAAACAATCAAGCCATAACGTGCATTCTATTTTTAAAATGCATAGAATACTAGTATAATAGTATAAACTATACTACCATAACACTTAATACACTATCTACTTGATACGGTGCAATAATCAACTATGGATATCCAATTATATTCAAAATATAAAATATATATATGTATATATATATATATTTAAAATGTCCAAATCACTAGTCTTCTTCTTCTGTTGTTCTTGACTTGACTTTGTCTTCAGGCCTTCTCTCCTGACTTTGAAGCTTCTAGATTCTTGTCCTTGCATCCAAGTTTTTGTTGCTGTATCAAAGGACACTCTTTTCCCTTCATAGTATAGGGTAATTCCAGGTGGATATCTCCAAGCATATTTGGTGTTCAATTTTCTAAATATCCATGTTTATGTATTAAACGTTTTCGGCAGGGATCTTGTATGGAGCGACAAATCTGGGTTGTTCATATGGGGATCCTTTTAAACGTTGCTTTCATAATTTCATCTTTGTATCTAAAAACGTGGCAGCATATCAGAACGTCTCTTGGAGTATTGATATCTCAATCTACAACTGTGGGAACACAATAAAAAACTTTCTAGAAAGTTAACTTCTTTTTTCGGGGGTAATCCTAAGAACGTAAAAAATTCTGTCAAGTGTTTTTCCAAATCAGTTTGCATCACATGTTCTGGAATGCCTCTAATCCTTATATTACAGTGTCTAGCTCTATCCTCCATTTCCGCTGATTTTGCTTCTATCTCTTCCATTTTTTTTCTAAGGATTTAATTTGGTCATTCTGTGTATTTCGTTGGAATGTGAGATTTTCCATAAGCTCTTCAGATTTCTAGAGTCTTTCCTCTAGTTTGTTTAAATCATTTCTCAATTCCATTGTGTTTCTGTTCATTTCTTCTTTAAATTTCAGAAACGGAGAGTAAAAAGCAGCTTTTAAAAGGTCTGGAGTAATGTTTTGTATTTCGGACCATGATGAGTCTGCACTATCTTTTGTATTACCAATATCTTTTGAGGAGTTAGAATTTCAAGTGAAATCGTCAGAGATCCCTTTTTTTCCTAGCATATCTGCTTGTGAGGAAAAAACTTTTTGACAGGCTTTTGTCTGATTTATTATTTTTCTTTTCTTTTTTAGAACCCGCTTTAGGGTCTTTTTTTGTAGCCATTATAGTTTCTCCTTCTCTTATTTGATCACTTTATTTTAGAGGGTATATTATTAATATGGTTTGTTTCCACTATAGCTTTAACCAGGTAACTTCAAATAGATCAGATATAACCCCTTAAAGCGGCACTGTCATGGCCGAATCCCGTTTTTTTTTTAACCCCCCTTCCACCTCCACTACTTCTAACTGACCCCCTAGTCACACCCAAATGCCCCTAAGCCCCCCATATTACCTATTTTTTATTCTTTATTTTCTGCCCTGATTTATGTTCTGGGCGCCGCCATCTTTATGTGGGTAGATGAAGTCCCTCTGGGACACGTCATCTGCCCACACTAGATAGCCTGTGAGATTTCCGCACATGCCCAGCGGTGCGCAGCTCCCTCCTTGTAATATGTAAAGATAGAAGCGGCAGGGAGCACTGCTCCCCGCCACTTCCTAAGCCCCCCATAATTGCCAGAGGCTGCTCACTGTTTAATACACATGCGGTAGGGGCGGTAGGTCTTTCAGCCTTTTGGTAGATAACTCCCTAATACCGTGGGAATTAGGGAGTTATCTACTAAGCGGCTGCAAGAGGCAGCCGGGACAATGAATAGGATCAGAGTTTCATTCATTCAAATTAGATTACGATACGAACAAAGTCCCGAATTGCGTTCTAACACGAATGGAGAAACTGTAAAAACGCAATTCGACTGTTTTGCCTGCGTCCTGTCTAAGTGACAGGAATCATCGCGGGAACAGGGAGGAAAGGTAAGGATTGTGGGAAAATTGCTGTGACCACCGGAAACAAAGCACACTTTGCTCCTCCGCTACATAACCTCCATAAGAGAAATAGTCCCTACTTTTTCTTACGTTTTAAAGAAAACTAGAGCAGATAGGAAGAAATGAAGAACAGTTCCCGAGAGAGGGAGAGAAGAGGAATCGATTGGGGAAAGGTAAGTTCGGCATGACAGTGCCACTTTAAGGACACATGACGGAAATATTCCGTCATGATTCCCTTTTATTCCAGAAGTTATGTCCTTAATGGGTTAATTATGGCTTATTCAGAGGCCGCACTTTCTCCTTCCAATCATAAAGACAAGTATTTCCCAAAGGAAAAAAGGAGACTAAAATAAAATATCACAAAATATCACAGAAGGGAATTTCTTTTATCTCGTCCTCTTCTCTCTTTCCTTTCCCTCTTTTCCTTCTCCTTTTTCCTTTCTCCTTTCCTTCCTCTCTCCTTCCTTCCTTCTCCTTTCCCTTTCTTTCCACCTTTGTTCCTTTTTCTCCTTTTTTACCCCCTTTCTATTACGTTTCTATTTTTTATTTTCCACCTAAACACTTTACGCAGTCTTCATTTATGCTTCTGTTGGACTTTACTGAAAAAACTCACTGCGTCCTGGCGTTAGGAGTTGCCTTTTGTGATTTCCCCGTTAATAATTAATCGTCTCTGTGTAGTCTCTTTGTATTGACTTCCACACCGTTCTTAGTCTGACTCCCTTCAGCTCACTCTCCGACTCTCTAGCTCCTTAGTTTATAAGATTCTTAGTTTTTTTTTCATATCTAATCTTTATTCAGAAAATATTTTATAGAAATACATAATCACAAGACCATACATTATAACAAACATGACGTACACAGTTATGTCTATATATAACATAATATTTTTTTCTATATCCATTATTTAATAGATTGCTCATATTCAATTTTGCATCCCATAACTAGCACGTCCACACATAAAATATATAATATTATAAAAACTATATTTAATTAAGTTTGTTTGTTTTTTTCCTGCGAAAGGAACCAGGATAGATAGGACTTCATATGGCATGTTATCGTTCTACATTTGTTCGGACAGATTATGCGTTATGTTGTATTAGGGGGTTACATTTAAAAAAGAAAGAAAAGAGAAAATAATATATTACATCTGTTGTATCTTAACATTTTTTCATCAATTTCCTATCTTTTACGGTTACTCCAATTTCCATCTTTAGCTGATATACCAATTGTTCTTTAACTACGCCCCAACAAGGAACCATTGTAGATCTCCAGTTTATTTCCACCAATATTTTTGCAGCCATCAAAATATGTATAACTAGAGCAGAGAATTTCCCCAAAATTTGGTGCATATTTAGGTGCAGCAAAAAGATGCCGGGGAATAAATCTATCGTGATATTGGTCAGCTTCTTTATTTTAATGGCAATCATAATCCAAAAAAGAAATATAGACCCACACTCCCACCATATATGCATCATCCCTCCACTATGAGAATCACATTTCCAACATCTATCAGAAATATTTAAATGCATTTTTACTAGTCTACTTGGAGTTAAAGGACCACTCTAGGCACCCAGACCACTTCAGCTTAATGAAGTGGTCTGGGTGCCAGGTCCTTCTAGGGTTAACCCATTTTTTCATAATTATAGCAGTTTCAGAGAAACTGCTATAATTATGAATGGGTTAAGCCTTCCCCCTAATCCTCTAGTGGCTGTCTCATTGACAGCCACTAGAGGCGCTTGCGTGCTTCTCACTGTGATTTTTCACAGTGAGAGCACGCCAGCGTCCATAGGAAAGCATTGTAAATGCTTTCCTATGAGACCGGCTGAATGCGCGCGCAGCTCTTGCCGCGCGTGCGCATTCAGCCGGCGGGGCGTAACGGAGGCGGAGAGGAGGAGGAGAGCTCTCCGCCCAGCGCTGGAAAAAGGTAAGTTTTTACCCCTTTTCCCCTTCCAGAGCCGGGCGGGAGGGGGTCCCTGAGGGTGGGGGCACCCTCAGGGCACTATAGTGCCAGGAAAACGAGTATGTTTTCCTGGCACTATAGTGGTCCTTTAAGTACCATCTATTCATTATCTTGTACTGTACTTCAGACAAACTGAAGCAGTGTATATTATTTGAAACGATAGCTAGAGATCTTTTCCACTCATCGTAACTTATATTCATATGTATATCTTTTTAATGTTCAAAAAAGCTGTTTACTGAGGAAGGTTATAGCAGTCAACAGTACAGTTGCGTATGCAGCAGATAAATTAGACACGCAGGTCTCAATGGCTAGTACATGGTAACAGATTAAGCTGCATATTACAGCCAACACGTTTCCTATAATTCAGGCTAAGTATCATTATAACAAGTAACATTTTGCAGTAACAACAGGGACAGTTTACTGATCGTTTCAATGTAACCGGACAACAATATGTTTGTGAGGCAGTTGCAACATTCAGTAGTACGTTTGTAAGTGTAACAAACACATTAGACACATAGGTCCAAATAGCAAGTTAAGGTCAATATCGTAAGCGTCAGGAAGCGGCAAGGAAGCTGTCTTCAATGCATGCTAAGTGTCAGCGTAGTGTATATTATTGTTCAGGAATAATAGAAGCAGTATCCTGGCTCGCTCCATGCAGCAGGAGGTCAGTAAGGATGTTGCAACTTATGTAGTATAACATTACTCATTAAGTAGCGCTGAATGTTAGAAGAGCCGTCAGTGCGGGTATATGGCAGTGGGTTTGCGGAGTGTCTGTTGGTTGCTGTGTCTGTAAGCGGTTTAGTGTCATACCTCCCGGCGATGTGAAGTGTAGGTACAGGGGGAGGGAAAAGGTAGAAGATGCCTTCGCCGAAGCAAGAATTAAAAAGTCAAAGGAAGGAACAGGAGATGGGCGGGGGGAGGGAAGGCTGTGGGATAAGGTCAGGTGTATTAGAAAGTGACGTGGGGGAAGGTTTGGGAACTAGCCCACCTGCCTAGCAAGTTATGTAGCGGCGGGGGCATCCAGGATGGATTAGTCAAGAGTGGCCCAGGAGCGGTATTGGAGTGGTCTACTCCCCATACGAGCTTATATTGGTGTCTCCCCTCCCTCCCCCATGCCTCGTCCAGCCACATAGGTCAACCACGGTTGTCACCTCTCCACATGCTTCTCCTCATTGCCCAGCAGCGAGGCCTGCACAGACTCCGACATGTAAATCTCCTCAACTCCGTCCATCCATTGTCCCAACGTCAGGGTTATATCCTGCTTCCAGTGCAGTGGCATCAGGGCTTTGGCAGCATTCAGCAAGTGTCGGAGTATTGATTTTCTGTATGTCGCAATGGAAGTTGACGTTGAGTGTAGGAGAACTGTCTCCATGTCGAAACATACCACATCTCCGATGATCTCCTCTGTTGTCTCCTTCACTCCCTCCCAGAACGGCATGATGCGGGGGCAGTCCCACCATATATGCCTGATCGTTCCCAGTCCCTCCTCGCATCTCCAGCAGGTATTAGGCACAGCTGGGCAGATGCAATGCAGGCTTTCTGGGGTTCTGTACCAGAATGCCAAAAGCTTGTATTTGGTTTCCTGGTATTTGGAGCTGGAGGAGCTTTTGTGGTGGAGTATAAGTATCTTCTCCCATTGAGCTGCCATGATTGGTTTATCCAGCACGCATTCCCACCGTCAACGGAAAGTTTCTTTACCTTCCAGATGTCCCACGAGGAGGTGCTGATATAGAAGGGATATTGCCCTATCAAGTGTATTCGTGCCATCGCATAGACCCTCGAACCACGTTAGCTCGCGGTGCAATGCCTCCCTGTTCAGGAGTTTCTGGTAAAAATACTTAATTTGCGTATATCGGAACGTTTGCAGGCTTGATGGTGGATTTCTTTCTGTCAGTTCCTGTAGGGGTGTCAGGCCTGATACAGTTAATAACTTGTGAATAGTTAGAGAGTCACCTCCTCCGATAAAGTCCCATGCTGGTGGTGTCAATCCGCCCCCTATGTGGGGGTTGTGTGGTATCCGGATTAGCGGGCTTGGCATTGGGGACACGTGGAGAGCCCCCCTGACACTGTCCCGGGTCCTCAGCGTCTGGGTCACTGTGGAAGTGGAGTCCAGATCTGCCAGTGTCGGTCTCTTCGAATTCCACACCGCCGCAATGAGGGAGGGGCGTAGATGACCTTTATCTAGCTCGACCCATTGTTTGTGCGTTGGGTGGGCGTGCCAATCCATTATCCGCTGTAAGACCATTGCCTATGCTATTTGCATAGACCCGAGGTGCCAGGCCCCCCCACTCTCGCGGCAGGCATAGTATCTCGTGCCGGACTCTCGGCTGACCTTCCAGCCAAACTAATTGTGTCATGGCTGAGCGTAGTGAAGCAAAGTAAGCCGTAGGTAAGGCCAATGGAAGTGTTTGGAAGAGGTATAAGATCCGAGGCAATACATTCATCTTGACTACCGCAATCCTCCCGAACATCAAGATATGAGTGTATGACCACTTTTTCAGGTCCTGTTGTACATTTTTCAATAAAGGTAGAACGTTCATCCAGTATATGTCTCTCTGGTCCATGGTGAGAGCGATTCCCAAATATTGCATATGTGATGTACACCATCGGAACGGGAACCTCATATGTATATCTTTTTCCCATTTGTTTAATACAAAATGATTGAGATTTTCAGGTTCCCTTTCATATAGATCAAGACATCTTGACACCATTTTTTTTATCGTATTTCTATTTTTTTTTCCTTCTTTGAGTTTTACTTGTTTATTTGATTTATCTTTGAGTAGATGATTGTTAAGATAGCCCTTTACCCTTATATATGTGAAAATATCTTTACTATCAATATAATATTCCATATTTAAGGAATTAAAATCTTTGATCTTACCATTTTCTACTATATTGCCAATTTCCTTAACCCCAAGATTAACCAATTTCTGTATATTTAAGTCCATCATATTGCTATTTAATTGACTTATAGGAAGACTAGTAATTATTTTGTCTTGTATCTCTAGATCCTTTTTAAGCTTGTTCCATATAGTTAATATATTACTTAAAATTTGACTATTAGAATTTAGACTATACCCATGTTAGTTTTTACTTCCAATTGTCCAAAATAAGATACTCAATTCCTCCTTCTGCTTTCCTTCATTATATAAAAATTGTTCCATTTTATACCATATTTGGTTCTTTGCAGTATCAGATTGAGTAGTAATTGCTTGTGCAATATTACACACTTTCCATGTTTGTTGTAGCTGTGGAATTCCCAAGGTCCCTTGGTTGATCTTTAACGCCAATCGATTTGAACTTATCCGTGGGCCAGCCCCAGTTTCTGGCCATCTTGTACCATTCCACTTTTACAGACGATCATACCATTCCCTTCTTTAGCTCGGAAAACTGTGCTGTATAGACTCCGGTTTCTAGCTCTGGGCTCCTCTACCTTGTGTCCAAGCTGGAAACAGACAGCATGACAGGGATGTAGGCCATCATGGCTCCCATCCTTTCATCCTTATGAACAACTGTTGACACTTGTGAAGTTTAGAATCTCCTGACTTTGGACGTCTTACCCTTCCATGTAGTACCATAGAAACATAGAAACATAGAATGTGACACAGGGCTGGACTGGGGATACAAAGCAGCCCTGGAAAAAAAATTTGTGCCAGCCCCATAAGTCACTGCGCCATATATTGTCGCATGTAATATGTAAGGCTATGTCTTGCCAGGACAGATGATTCAGTAATATATATATATATATATATATATATATATATAGCTTTTTCTAATATAAAATATTGGTCCTTTCAGGGTAAAACGTTTAATTATACAGTAAGCATACGCACATGCAGACACAGGCAATTTCACTGACATTTCAGTGACACACAGCCTCATATACAAACAATCTTACTGATATACATCAGCTCATTGACATAAAAACACAAGCTCACTCACTAGCAGGCACACGCATGCAAGCAAGCTCACTCACTAGCAGACGCACACACACAGCTTAATGTGGTGGTACTGGTGTCTATAGCATGTCCCTACAGGCATTTCAACGTAAACACTGACTTTTCAGACAAAGGCAGTGTTTACATTGCTTCAAAGTGACACTGCTAGTGACAGTCACTCAGACGGTCACTAGAGGTGCTTCCTGTGTTAGTGCCCTCCCGCGCTGCTGAATGAGACTGGCGAATGTGGCGTCATAGTCGGTAGCCGGTCTCGGTCCAGCTCGATAACTGAGATGAAACCAAGCGCGGCTTCGGCGCAGCTCCCTCAGCGGCCGCCAGGACAAGTCGGCCAGCAGCCACCAAAAGACCTCCCCAGCGGCCAGGGGAGGGCTGGCAGCCTTAGGCCTGGGGGGCAAAACCAGTCAAGTAGACTGGTGCACCTGCCCAGGATCAGAGCCGGTGCAAGGATTTTTGCCGCCCTAGACAAAATAAAAATTTGCTGCCCCCACATGTCACATCACAATGCCCCACCCATATGATCTGCCATATGAACTAATGCCAGTGCTGCACACAGTGTGTGTTTGCATTAAAAAGCCTGCAGGGACCAGCTATAGACACCAGAACCACTTCATTAAGCTATAGTGTCCCTTTAATGTGAGGTAAATTATAGATTAGTGTCACTAATAATATACTAGATTGCCTACTTACAAGCAGATGAGGATGATGATGGGCTGCAGTTTGGCTCCACTGGTCTGGTGTAGAACAGGATCTCTGGAGCTGTTTGCAACTGTGGTCACAAAATTCAATGTTCTGGGAGAATTGGAAGCAGCTCAATTTTTTTGGGGCCCCTTACACAGCTCAAGGTCTGGGCCCCAGGGCCTGGCGGTGAGTATGCCCATAAGGCCCACTCATAAGTTCCACCCACCCATGAGTTCGCTCACAGGGAGTGGAGTGTGTAGGGGATGTGTTATGTGTTATTGTAGAGGATCTAATATGTGTGCTTATGGTATGTAGTGTATAGGGATACCAGTTTGTGTAGGTGATGCAGTGTGTTTGTGTGTAGTGGAAGCAGTGTGTATTTGTGTATAGGGATGTATTGTGTGTTTTGTGTGTAAGGGATGCATTGTGTGAATCTGTGTTTGTATGCATAAGGGATGCAAGGTGTGTGTCTGTAAGTGTGTGCATTGAGTGTGTGTAAGAGATACATTGTGTTTCTGTGTGTATGTAAGAAAAGCAGTGTGTGTGTTTGCATGTGTGTGTAAGGGTTTGCATTGTGTGTTTCTGTGTATGTGTGCAAAGGATGCATTGTCTTTGTGTGTAAAGGTTGCATTGTGTGTGTGTAATGGATGCATTGTGTGTGTGTGTGCAGCGTAGTGTGAAAGAGCTCCCTGTCTTGGCCCCTGTCTCGAGGCTGCCCCTTCTGTCCCGTAGAGCTCTCCCCTGCACCTTAGTGGTCTCTCCTCTCCCCCACCCTCCCCTAGCGGTCTCTTCTCACACTCGCCCACCCTCCCTGTGCTCTTCTCATCCCCCCCTCCACCCTCCTGTGTTCTCCTCACACCCCCTGTGTTCGTCTTACCCCCCTCCTCCCTGTGTTCTTCTTACTTCCCCCCTTGGTCGTCTTACTCCCCCACCTGTTCTTCTTACTCCCCCACCTGTTCTTCTTACCCCCTTCTTCTTATTGCTCCCCCTTCTTCTTCTTACCCCCCCCTTCTTCTTACTCCCCTTCTTCT